TTTTTCTTATATTGTGTTTACAGTGTTGCATATATGCCGAAAAATGAAAAAAACAGCATAACTACTAAAATAGTGGTCCGATCTTGCTGATTCTCAAACTTGACCTGCGTTTTAGTAAGATTGATTACTCCTGTGAGTTTCATGACAACAGGCCTAACGGTTTTCCTTAAAATGTGTTTACAGGGTTGCATATAGATGCTGAAAAGTGAAAAAACAGCATAACTTCTACAATAATGGCCCGATTATGCTGATTTTCGAACTTGACCTGCGTTTTATGAATATTCATCAGCTCTGTAAATATAAAGCCAAAAAGTAAAACTGCCCTCCACTTATCGTGTTTACAAGGAAAGTGCACGGCGCCGACGGCGACGGCGACGACGGCGACGACAGACGCAGGCGATGGCAATATGTACAGACACATCTGTGTCTGTACATAAAAAGTCTAACTAAAACATTAAAAGAAAATTTTGATAAAAATCCAATATCTGATTCCCTTGTTTTGTCAAATGCGTTATAGATTTTGTCTATACTATCACTCCATGCATGAAGTAGCTATATATGGTTAATCCTGATAGAAAAGCTAAATTAAATGTACTTACCTCCCGTTGTCTCGCCCTACACCCCACACTCGTATAGAGTGTATGGACTGGGAGTTAAGAACTGTAAAATCTTGTGGGTCTACAAGCCTCAGGCTGATACTATCAAGGTCCATAAATAGATCCTTTCCCTGGAAAATCATTTTGATAAATGTGTTCATAAAAATATATATGCCAATGCCTAATATGTAGCAAAATGCTAGCTGTACAAGGATTCCAAATGCAATAAGTGGTTATTTGTAGAAACTGTATAAATAAATTAATTTCTAATATCTGCTTGTTCATTACAATGTTACCATGATAGTAATTATTAGAAAAGCAAAATTTTTGATGAAGAAACTATTCTATATAAACTTATATGTCACAGCATTTTCAATAGAAAATGTTAAAATATTTCTGCAGAGACTATAAGCATTGTTTTATTGTTCACCATTTGAAAACATTAGAGAAAGATAAATAAAATGTGAAATTATGAAACAGACTGTGCATCAAACAAGTCTGTCATAAGTTTTGGCACCAAAAGGTTTTGATTCATCTTTCTCATTCATTTTTGGATAAAAAAATATAATAACAATTAAAAATATATTTACATCTCCCCATCTTCCCACCACATCGTTGATATCATTCTTCCCCAGTGACAAGTCCACAATACATTTGTTTACGGCTCGACTACTCTTTTCTTGAGTTAAATCTTCTTCGGCTATTTTCACCCAACCAAGAGATCTAACAGCAAATCTGATTGGTTTCTCTCCTGTTTCTGCGGTGGGACTCTCCAACGCACCCTCTTGGAATTGTAACTGGCCTTCTGGCTGTGTGCTGTTTAATGAATTAAAGATTGCATTTGGTGCATTTCTAAAATGACAGAATCATGAATTATTGCTATTTTGGTAAAAAAATTATAATAAAAATTTTTAAAAATCATGCAAAAAATCTCTTTAACTTACAACTACAGTGTAGTAATCTTTTTCTTTCTATATCGAGCCATATAAAAAAGAAATAATCATCTTTAACATTGAAAAATATTATTATAATATTTTAAGTGATGGCATCCTTATTTTATTATATTGCCAATAAAATAGAAATCTATTAGTATTAGAATTGTATTAAGAACATGGTGCCAGAAAAAAGAAAAGAAACCACATACATTTACTATTAATAAAAATGTGAGCAAAATAGAAATATTAGGTTATAACGTCTCTTATACACAAATCTTTGTCATTTTCTTTGTTTAATGTAAAAGATGTTTCCAAATCTTTTTAAATAATTACAGCGTGTGCCAAACGTAAAACCAACCAATGGAACTACTTATTTTATTCATATTATTTCAAATTCATTTTGTCATTCCCGCAAAATGCAGCAAAAAGAACAACTGTGCTTTTTCTCACTTTATCAAAGGTTTCCAAAATGGTAGGCGGATGCAGGGTGAAAGCCCAAAGTAATTTTTTTGACATGAAAAACATTTTAAATAGTTACAATATCAAAGGGTGGGTGGGGATAAAATCAAATGAAGGCATAAAATAAAATAAAATAAATTTGGCCAATATATTACCAATAAAATACGTTCTTACAATAAGGGACCACACTTCAGTTGGTATTTTGTATCTATAAATAATCAAAGACAGATTGCTTACAGAGAACTAAGTGACTGTGCCGCATATTTAAATGCATGACCTTCAAAAGCTTGGAGTGGGTCGCAGTCAGAGTCGGTGCTACTAGGAGAATCAGGAATGGAATCCTGGGGGAGTGGAAAGAAAGCAATAAACCAAGAGGTTAGTATAGGCTTTATAAACCAGAACTATTGTGATAACTTGTTGGAGACTAAATAAACACTATGTATGTCCCATGTAGGTGCTAGTAAATAAATAAAAAAAAAAACAGAAGAGCTCCATGCTCGATTAACCACTAAAATTTGGAACCCTATCATTCTGTGGCTGGATAAATACACAATTCTAACCAGCTAGCACAGGAGCTGTACAAAGCTTAGAGAAATGTGTGTATGTGTTAAGTTAATATTTTTCATATAGCATCTGAAACAATTTGCTTTTCTTTTTGTCAATTAATTTACAAAAAATATCGATTTGATCTGATTATAGCATACATTTGTATATGTTGATAGGGTTCCAAACATAATTGGAACAAATAAATAAAAAAGCTGGCTTTTGTAGATAAATCCACTAGTTCTCTTTCTCCAGCAGGTTGTATTTGTGTAGAAAGGATAAGTCAAGGTTAGTGTAAACATGGTAGCAAAGCTGTCAAATGGACAGACGTAAAAACCCATAACCTGTTACTGAAAAAGAGAAGAAAGCAGTGAATGGGTGGTACTGCAGTAGTTAGTAATAGTAGCATATACTAAGCTACCAAATGTCTGAATATAAGTAAATAATTATGTGTAATTATGAACAAATATTATTTCTGTGTTCTTCTTCACCACCACCACTAAGATTGGCATGTGCTTTTGAAAGAAAAACTTGGAAACAAAAAAGAATAAAGATACAAAACTAGTCACTGGATTAGTAAAAGTGAATATACTATAAGGTGTCCAAAGAAAAGTGAAAAAATGTGCTGTAAAGCCATCAAGGCTGACAGGATACCAAAAACTTTGTATCCTTCAAAGATTTTCATCATTGTTTACGGAAGCAAGATATACACTTGTTTTTTTTTCTCTACTTTTCTTTCTTTTTTGTCTGAACACCTTACATTATGGAACCAGTGATGGTGAGGGGGGGGGGGGGAGCAGAGGGGGAATATTCAAATCATGTGGGTCTAGATGCCATCATACCCAGCCAGAGGATCAAATTCATGGAGGACCTCTTCCTCACAGATGGCGCTGTCATCTTTGCTGGTGTCTGCTGCAGTCATGACACTCCCAACTAGAGTTTCTACCTCCGCGGAAGACCTGTGTGGCACATGCGGTGCCTCATTAACCTGGGCATTAAATACAAAGCACATTATATAAGAGATAACATTTAAAATAACTGTATCGAAATAGGTTTTCACTTTAAAGCAACAATAATGGTTCTATCTTTTACAGTGGGTCCCCCTGAAATACAATTTTTGACAAAAAATTCTAACAAAAATAATGCAAATAAATATTCCATTGTATAAAGCAGTTATATAAATTCTTAATCTCGTGGACAGAGACCACATAAAAATAGTTTTGCACCCACCAGAAAGTAATTATTATTTGAAATAAAACACTGACAAAAAATAAAACTGATATGATAACTGAATGTAATTCCCGGCTGTTGTCTGTTGCATAACTTTTAGAGTCAAGAAATCAATCTGTCTGACCTTTAATTAAATGAAAAGATCAAATTGAAAGCAAAAATCAATTTCAAGGAAACCATTATGCATTCCAGCTAAAGCCAGGAAATTCCTAATGTTATTTCACCGACTCAACATCTCTCAACATGTGTGAAAATAGACCAAGAAATGAACCACAGAATTGAGTTATGAAATTCTATATGTCTGTGGCAAACATCCAACATTGGAAACCTGGGACTAATGACTTCGCATTGTCTAACGCAGTATAATTGGAGTACTTGAAAATTATTCAAATTCCAATGCATACATTATGTGAATTAAGAAACAGAAATAAACTGTCAATCAAAAATTGTAACCTTTACATTAATGTTATTAAGCCAATATGAGAGGCCTTGTCTCAGTTAAATGCAAAAGGTTTAAGTGGCATTCACCTCAGAGGCTCACTGACAAATTAAGAATTTTCTTACCTACATTTTGTTACATATTATAGTGAATTTCAGATAATAAATTTTTATGACAGAAAAACTTTTCCCTTATCAAACTGCCACAAATTACGTCTAATAAATCTACTTCAAAACTCTAATCGATACACATAATTTGCTCAGAATGACTCACTTCAAATTCTGTTTTCATGTAACTCCTATTCTTATACTATGTGCAGTGGAATCATATATACAGCATCTAGGAATATCATTGCCATTAGCTCGTTAACTTACTGTTTCACCACTTAGTAATTCTCTCTTAACAAACTGCATTATGTGAGTCTTGGTCTCATCTGTGCAATCAGCATATAAATGGCTGTAGTAAAACTACAAGACCTCGTCCATCTGGATAGAGAAGAGTTCCAAGTATGGGGTCAGTATAGATCTTTGTAAATCCAGTTACTATCTTCACTATGGCACTGACCACGAGGCTATTTACTATTCTACTGGTTTGTCAGTGTTACATGTATCGTATTGGTATTAGTTCCTGCCATGAGCACTGCATGAGCATACTAGTACTAGTTTTTATACTTGATTATCACAATGAAATTAACAGTCAGGTTGTGCAGTCAATATACATCATTCCCACAGACTTTGCATCTATACTTCTAAATTAAAAAATTAAAATAAATAATGAAATAATAAATATATAAATAACCTTCGTTTCTGTTGTTCAGTCTGTCTCAGAAGTTTTTATCATATGCACTGTTGACAGAGCACTAACAAATCAAGCATATATCACTATTTTTAATTGGTCATTGGTTTTTTGAACAAATCTGCCTAGATTTATCAGGGCCCAAATACTAAATCAGGTGAGGATCCAGAGGCAACACTGAGCCCAAGCACAATTAGATAAAAACTGCCATGATTCTGTGAAAAAAGGTACCAGTATGTCTGCTATACTGTATCAAGTTATATGAACTGCAATGACCTGACTGTAACTGTGCCTTCAAAAGTGTCACAATTGGACCGGTTTAAAATAAATTAAAATGGGTACTCTTAGGCAGAAGACTGATGTCTGATGACCTATGTCTGATAATCTGACTACAAATTTTTAATTAAAAACCTGTCCAGTTTTAAGCACCCCAGTAAAATATCAGTCTATAGGTGGCTATATACATTCTTAACAATGGCTTTCTTCACATGTAACACAATTTACAAGTACATGTAGGAGTCTGACAGCCACATGCATGGGCACATAGCTGTACCATGGAAGCTATCAGACTTGAAACCAGATATAACATACAAATTAACAATCCCACTTGCTTTTAAAATAAATTTCATGTAGTTCTCACAAAGACTGAAAATTATCATTTTGTCAATAAGGCTTACTGTACATGGAGATATTTGTAGGACAACCAGATTTTGAAAATTTATTTCTTGCTATGACTTCTTGCTATTTGCGATATATACTCACTGTTTCACTGGGCTGGGATTCCTGCCTCTGGGCTCGCTGTACTGTGCCTGGAGACGGCGGAGGAGGTGGCTCCCTCTGGATGGTTCCGCTTTTGATATGCCAGTAGTAGGGCCCTTCTTTGTCTGTAATCCAATAGTGATAGCACTGGTGGTGAATATCAATGATGTAGACAAAACTGCTCATTGGGTCAATATCGGTTATAGACTCGTATAACACATTCACGTTTTTTTTGTACTGATGTTGACCAAAGAAGATTCATAATAACACATACAGAGTTCAATGAATAAAGTTAAAACAATATGTCAGAAAATATGCATTTAATATTTAATTCCTTGGCATAGTGTCTATAGTCATGGTTTAATTATTATGTCCCTCTTGATATTATTCCTTGATGGTCTCCAAAACTTTGTAATTATAAAGAATGTTACTTGATGGTGAATATTAATATCAATCTAAGGAATGTTGCCACTGATCAGCTTGGTCATCATACCATGTAATGCTTCTTGGCTCAATGTCATCAGAATAAATAAAAGTATATCACAAACTTATTTGGTGGCAAATTCTCATGGGAATCATGCATCCTGAAACACATTGCCAAGGATGGGAGAAACCATTTATTCTGAATCAGTAAGAGGAAGGATCATCTACACAAACTGTTAAAGTTAACCTATGGAAGCCATAATTGTCACTTTTCCTACTGGTGAAAGTATATGTATAAATCCTGCCTTAGGTTTTTTAAAAGTACCCCATTTGGATGTTATCGAACTAGCACTGAAGTAATGGTACCATGATATTTCAATACCACACAATTTCCTTTTTGCTTGGTTTCCAGAAAAAGGTCAGCTCATTTCCTTGATAACTGAAGTCAAATGAAAAGTTCAGAGATATCAACCCAAGTATGCTCATGTCGCTGCACATCTTTTCCAGAAAAATTCACAGAACAATCTTGCCTGGATACCTAGTATGCAACAAGCACAGTGGCAGATAGCGCATTGCCCATTGGCTCCAACAGAATGTGCCAAGCAAACAGGAACTTCTCTCAAAACAATAATATGTCAATATTTGAACCTCAGCCTTGTATTCAATATCAGTCTTTATCTTCAAAGAAGAAGAGGATAATGAATTGGTCACCAAGTTGAAATCAATGTGGATCATGCAAACTTCATCTCAAACATGGTAGCGAAACATCTTCACATTGATCCATATGCCTGATCTAGTTTCATTCTATCCCACATAAATAATAAAGAAAAATCAAGCATTTGAACTTCTTCAATGATCAAGTCCAAACATGCCTGTTGTCAGGCATACCAACAGCCAAAGGAAAAACTGTTCAAAGATGTATCGGTTTTGATAATGGCTTTGGCTTTTTCATGGCAGTTCTGATCTGAACACAGAACTGCTGAAAGCAAAACAGTCAATGAAAACCATCCTTACAGTATTATCAAAATGGCAAAATAGTCAAATAGTCTGACTGACATCTTATCTCATCTGGTCCAATATGTCCAATTTTCTACCAAAGATACACCATGCTCAGAACTGGAGCGAAGTGTTGCCTATAATAACAGACTCCTCTTAAGTGAATTCACCGAGAGAGAAACCTTTCCCTAACATTAGCTAATGCAAGGCTGCTTCTTTCTCAATGGATTTGAATAATTCATAACTGTAATTGTCTATACACTTCACTGATATCACATTTAATAAGAAAAGTCAACACTGAACTGGTTCCTCAGAAATATGCTGCTTTCAAGGTTTGGTATTCAGAAACAAACCAGAAGTCCGTGGCCACTAGGTGCATTTCCATCATTTGGCCACTCTATATGGCAGTGGTCTCCCATCACACCACTTCAACCATCTCCTATACCTTCACTTCAGCTAATGGTAAAATTATCAGATTTTCATCTTCAGTTGGTCGGTCTCGTCTTTGTGTTTGGACTTATCTGCGAGTAAACACAATTGGCTTGACGAAGCACAATGCAGCATGAAATCACATTTGGATTCAAACCAAGTTCGTGGAAAGCCCACAGGTGGACTGCTAAGAGTGCCCTGGCAGCTAACTTCTGCCAGTTTCAGTGAAAATGCAGCAAACGAATAAAGGTTATTATAGTAGTATCTAGTTCAGGCAATGCTTTCAAGTTCACTCCTGTCTGTAACTACAAAAGCCTTATCCTGAATATAAGTGCATATCAAATGATGTAATGGATGGGGGAAATTATATCTGCAATTACAATAATCAATACTGCAGACATGCAGTGACAGCCCACATAATACAATGTAGAGCATGGAAAAGAAATAAGATGCCATAATAGATCAAACACAGCTTAAAAATAATTAAATGAGAGACAGACAGCATGATTAAATGACAATTATGAGTCCCCCAATGGTAAAATAAGATACGCATTATCCATATTAACACGTCCTTTGCAAGACTTAATGCACATGCACAAACATACGTTGCTATGACAACTACATCAAAGAACAGTCACCTGCCTAAAAATTCAAAGACCATTTCTTCATCTAGGTCAGAATGTGCCCATTCCTCCATCTGTCCAAGAGTGCTTGACATCTCGCCTAAATTGTGTCATTGGCAATGACACCCATTTTACAGTGTCAGTGATATGTCATGAAGGTGAAGTCACAAACACATACACTCATGCCCAAGAATCCACTTTCAGCAAAACAATGAAGTCAAAAAGTTTGCCATTCTGTTCAAATTGTCACTGTTTATCATGTGTGTGGCTGGTATAGCCATATGTAGACTCCTTTTTGTGGCATCACTATGAAAAGGGCATAGAATTCTCCGGAATCGCCTCACAGACCATACATAAAAATACTGGAGCCTGCAACTGCCATTGAGACACCCATACAGACTAGCTGTACAGCCTCATTACTACCTGAGGGTGGTGCTTCATGATCTAGAGACAGACAATCAGCTCATCATTCTGTGGCTCTTACGATCAATCATCATTTTAACTTCCAAGGGAACTGCCATGGAATATGGCAAAAACTTCACAATGGAAAAGCACAATTCATTCCATCTCTTTTTATCACTAATATTCTCAGTTTGCGTTGAGCATTAGTGACATCATACATGGCATGGAGAATATTGGGGGCAGGGGAGAATATAACTAATTTCTCAAACCAGAACACCTTTTTCCTTCTAATGCAAATGTTGTCCCTCTCATCGTCAGCCTAAAACGGCATTACCCAGGGAGCAAATTTCCTGCGGTTGCCATGGAGATGTCACAGCACTTCCCCATTATCTGCCACAGTTGTGTTTATCTTTATACAGACTCCTTTTTGTGGGGAGCAAATAGTAATAAAGCCGGCTTTTTTTGTTTGATGGTGATGCATGTTGAGTTACAAAACACAATCAAGAAATTGTGTTTGCTTTCATTTCTCTTTAATCAACTTTACTTGCAAGCAATTAAGTTTACGCATAAAACAGTTTCCAGAAGGGGCACAGTCCCATACAAATGACATTACATCATGCTTTGCCATCAACCTAATACAATATTCTAAATGCATTTCCTTTCCTCGATAAAATCATTTCTGAACATCTCCAAAATCTGTCAGAAGTGCCAGAGCTTTCAATTCCAGTTAAACCACTCTGTTAATAACTCCACCATATTCTAAACACATTTCTTTTCTTCGATCTAACCATTTCTTAATATCCCCAAATTCTGTCAGAAAGGCCATGCAGAGCTTGCAATTCCTGTTAAACCACAGACAAAAAGAGAGCTGGTCACTTTGTTAATGACTCCAAGGATAGGGTTGGTTAAACAACATTTAAGACGTTCAATGTTGTTGAATGGCAATTAAATGACATTTGTCCATCTCAGATGCCAGAACTATCCTCCAGCTAGAACAAACATGTCACATCAAAGCCACAGACAAATGATGAACAATACCAGAAAAAGACCAAACAATTCCAAACAATTAAATTGCTGCTTTCTAGATCTGTGCTCTTTGATCTCCTTGTCAGCCATAGAAATGTGAACTAAGGTATACACTGGATCCTTTTTATGGTGGAAAATAATGGATTTTCCACATACATAATTTTGGAATCATACAAATTAAGCTACATTTAATTAAATATCTTCTGTATAGCATTTTTAGTGTTTTATGTTTTACAGTATAGAATAAAACTATTGGATTACCTGCTTTGAAGTTTGTTGCTACCAATCCATGGAAATGTTGTAATTTTAAAAATTCATGATTTGAAAAAAAAAAAAAAAAAAAAATACAGTATCTTTTCAATTCACAATATATTGTTCCACTGAAAAGAACAAATCATTACTTTTATTTTTATTACTTTTAAATTCAAAATAAGTTTGGTTTAGGATATGGCATTATGTTCCAGTGTACTGGTGCAGAACATCAAGGAGAAATCAGCAAGTTAGAGTATACCAATAGCAGGGCTATCACAAATGGTGTCCTAAGAACAAAAATTACATCTTAAACTCAGTCTGTGTTCAGCAATAGTGAAATCAACTATTGGTATGGAGACTAGTGAAGATTCTATGGGGACAGGAGAAAAATAAATTACTAATTTCTCAAAGTAGAACACCTTTTATTTCTAATGCATATGTTGCCCTTCTCATCTATAGCCTAAAATGGCATTGCCCAGGGAGCAAATTTCCCGTGGTTGCCATGGTGATCCTATGTTTGGTATCTCTTGGAAGCGAAATACAGTATGTTATTATACAGTTAAACTGAATGTGCTTTTTTACATCATATCATACCTAATGAATATAAAACATTAGGTAAAAGTTTTAGAAGAAAACAATGGCAAAAAAACTCCCATTAATCAGCTTCACAAGGAATCTACCAAAATATTTCAGAATTTTGACTGAGACACATTTACTGCACATCTAACACAATTCCCAAGCAGCAGTCATAGCATGCTGACCATTCAAACATGTACCAAATGTGTCCTGAAGGGAAATGGCACTAGAGCATCAATCTCTGCATCATGCATCGAACCAATAGCAAACAATGATTAAAAAAAAGGTAGCTGATAGCTCTAACGATTGAGATCATTCAACTGAACATTTATTGAACTTTCTATGGGTGTGTGGGAGTAATCTCTTGCTATATATCAGCCTATCAGGAATCCAATAGTCTTTTTTGGGCAGAAAGTCAATGCTCTATATTTGTTCTGTGTTCAAAAAAGATAGTGATGGGCTATATATATTCACTTGATGTACAGAGAGTATAGCTAAATCATTTTATCAGGTGGCATGGGGCATTTCTGTACAATATTTTCTCTTGAGTATAGAATGGATACCAGTTATCTCTTCAAATGAAATGGATAGATAAACAAGCATGCAGCCCATGATGGCATGTATTACATGTTCTCTAGATATGGGGTACACATAAACACAGAATTCCATGATACTGTGGCAGAAAGAAACTATATTAAGGGTTTAGAGTCAGCATGATACCCTTCCTCTTACTCTTCTGATTCCAAACACAATGTAGTCTTATCAAAGGTTGCCAAAATAAGTTATATGTATACTGGAAGATACATACTAGATTAGGGACAAGATTATCAGCTGTTGCCATGACAACCACAGTGCTTGAAGAAACATTCATTTCCAAGCCTAAACAGACAGTCCAAATACAATTTTGTTGAATTGAAGGAAAAGGTCTGAGGGCACTAATTGAATAGAAATCAATAAATACATCATTAAAATGTATTAAAGAGATTTGTATTGGTTAAATATCCATATTTGTTTTTATGAAACATGCTTATAGAAGAATAAAATGTCCATTTAGACTGAGCATGAATATAAAAATGTAGTGGTTTTCATTTATTTATATGAGAGAGAGAGAGAGAGAGAGAGAGAAAAGGGAAGAGAGAAAGAAAAAAAGATATGCATGAGCACACAATATACATAATATGAGTCCATGTCCTGATCACCTTGGCAACTTAAGGGTGCAGTTGAATGGCAAATGTGATGAGCAGATACTGGTATACATTTCTTTAGTATATAATAAGATCTGATCAAGTATGTCACTTGTACATTTAACTGTACAGTTACTTGTATCATTTGAAAATGAAACAATTAATGATATTCCATGGACTTTGTCCTGCTGCTTGAATTGATTTTATCTATGCATCCACACACTTCAGAATCTGAAAAATCCTGAAGTGGTTGGAAAATCTTTCCTGCAGCACAAAAAACCACCATCAAACATACAGCATTTTTTTCATATTACTTGCTGCACATTGCATGGAAAACAGATTTATTAGAGCTTCAAGTTTCCTAGGCTGATTAGAGGCAAATTCTAGTATAGGGCTGTTGTTACACTGAGTTCAACAGTGGATATTATCCGTGGGCGTTTGCAGCAGGATGCTCACACAGACATTACAGATTTATTAGAGCTTCACCTGTCACTCTTACTGATTCTTTCCTTGATGACAAAAATTGGATTACTTAGTTCAAAAGCTACTGCTTGGCATTTCATGTGTCTGCTAACTTCTCTTTTTGTCTCTACAATTAGTTTCCTGTGACAAAGCTGGTCTGTCTGCAGTTGATTATATCACAGAGATAAGAAACTGATGTTTTAGTATTTTGAAATGGAAAAAGATCACAATTTTTGAACACTTGTGAAAAAATTGCTTTGTTACTACCTGACAAAGTACAAGGAAATGGCCATTTGGGACCCCTGAAGATTTTTTAACACAAGGCTTAAGTTAATATCTAGATACTATAATTTTAGTGGATGAACAGGGAATAGAAAGTGATAACTGTCTGCTTTCCATCCTCCACAGACAAAATATAATAATATTACTTGGAACAATCAAGAAGTACAAAACAAGAGGAAGTAGACATGAAACATCTACCAGCAGCATTTCTTCAAACAAGCATGGTGTTTGTCTTAATGGAGGTCTTTTTTATGTTATATTTTCTCTAAAATGACATATCATGTAAGAGGTCTATTTCAAGACGAAATGCCATGGCACACAAGCAGCAATTAATTTTCATTGGTGTCAACACCCCCCTCCCCCCAAATAAAAACACTAGTATCATTTTTGGTCTGTGGTAGAACTTTTAGATGTGACTAACATTGCTACCAATATCAAATGTGACATATATACCTGTAAGAAGTATTCACAATAAGGACAATGAAAATCACGGAGAAAAGCTCAAAATACCTTGCAAGTGTAATTGAGAAAGTGTTTTGAAAGGCCCTCTCTAGAACATTTGAATTTTCTTCTGTCTTTATTGCACAAAGGATTGTAAAGATCTGTACCCACCTTCATGTTTCTCCCAGCCCGGAGGAAGAAGTACCTCTTCTGTCTGAAATGAAAAGAACAAAACTAAACTAAATGGTCATTTAATAGATGTACAAGCTTAAAGCAATAATAACTCTTCGTTTCGGCCAAAAAATGAATTTTCCTGGAGTAAACAACAATTTTCCCATACTTACCAATGGTTAATGAATCCATTTTTACATTCAAAGTTAGTCCCTGGTTTTTTTCTAAAAAGTTTGGTTTTTTGTTAAAATCTCTTAAGAGATTTTAACAGAGTATAGACATCAATGGAGGTCACGTGGTCTAAAGCCAAGTTCAAATATCAGAATAAAAGCTATAACTGCTGTTTTTGTGGTAAAACAGAATATATTATATTTCTATGAGTTATTCACAAGGTTATTATTGTTAAATATAGGTCTCATACAAAGAGTTATTATGCCTTTAATTCAGGGATTAAGAAAATTCTGAAGTGACCCAGCAGTACATTTAAGAATTCTTTATAACATGAATATGCTAAAAATCAGCTCAGCAGCTTTAATACACACACACACACACACACACACACACACACACACACATGCACACACACACACACCATCATCAAACTAGTAACCACCTGCATCATAGCTAAATTACATAACTTCATGATTGTGCTGTCATACTATAAATCTCATCTTTCAGGCAACAATCTTAGAAGACTATATAGCTAGTAACCTCATTACCATCAAAACTGAAAGTTTAAATAGCAAATTTCCATACATAATTGAATCATAATCAACTCCTGTATAAATGGATCATTATGAAATGTTGTCTTCAATTCCCAGCAAGTCCACAATGAACAGACTCCATTCAGCAATAACTTAATTTATTTTATAAATCTCTCCCTTACACTCTCCATACCCAGTTGCAAATTCTGATGTTATCATAAAGTGAAAACAGCATTTTTTAAAAACCCAAGTACAAAGTACTTTCATGAAGAATCATCCTCATTTTTTAACCCAATGATTCACAGTTATAGTCAACCCTTTTTTCAGTAAAAATCATTGCCCAAAATTACCCCCTTTTCCTAAACCAACTGTGTAACCCATACATATTCCTGAATCAGTAATGTAGTTACCCAGAAAAGACACTGTTCATGGACTTCACACTTTAAGCAGTGTCTGCAACATTATGAATAAATTAAAACAGTACCAGTACATTACCAATGAGTGCACCCATCTGCCATTAACTGCATAGAATTTCACCATTTTCAAGCCATTTCAATACCCCAGTACTAACATTCTGACCGTGACTACATCACTGTGACTGCATTGCTCTGTGCATTGGCATTGGTTACCAGAAGGTTCCGTAAGTTTCATATTCACATCTCATTAAAACACATAACCAGAAATATATCAGCAAGATGAACAATTGTAATGTCATCTGGTACCAACAGTTTGCCTGTGCTAAAACGTAATTCAATCCGAACTTGTTCAACCAATACGTTGACTGTGTTCCAAGCAATTGCAATAGGTTTTGGTACGGTTCCATCAGATATATACATCTCCTTTGCCCACAAACCACAGCTGGAGGTCAATAGTTTCTAAGAACACACAAGATTGCAGTTTTATTATGAGACCTAATTCACTCTCTCCTCCCCTTTGTGCAAAAAAAGGGGATGACTCATCACATTTTGAGGGCTACGAAGCAAAAAAGACCGTAAATTTATCAGTTGGTTGAGAATCTTTTGACTGATAAGTTATTGATTTGAGGCCAATAATATAACATTTGCATGCTCTAGTTTTGCACAAATATGATGTCACTAATAATCAAAGAGAGCGATACTACTTTCAGGAAAAATACCGAGAATCACAAAAGGTGAGCAATAAGTTTTTTTCTAAGTTAGATTTTTGGTAGAAGCACTAACATAATTAAGAATATTTTGTCAAATAATATATAAATAATGTTTGGAAAAACCTTTCCCAAAAAAATCTTAATTCATTATATAATGTGGCTATCTCCAATTGCAAGGGACACTGTCTACAAGCATGGCAGACATGACACACAGTTATAAGTCTCTGTCTTTTCTTTTTTGGATTACCAGAGAAGATTTATGACTTCACTAAAAACTGGATATTTTTCTGAAACACTTTTATAGTTTCCACTAGATATACCACGCTTATGCAGTTTGCTACAGCAGAAATCAATAAGGGATTCCTTGGATGTTAAAGATTTGCAACAGTATCTAAAACTCTACTAATAGCAATTATAGCATCCACTCAGAAAAAGAACCACTCACTGCCCTTGTTTTAAGTCCTAGTTTCAATTATATGCCAGACTTTTTCAGAAAAAAAAAAGAAAAAGAAAATGAGAAATGACTTCCCATTTTGACAGAACATAAGTTAACCCTCAGAGCCTTAAATACCAGGACATAACTGAACAAAGTTATGAAATATCTCTGCAATATAGACTTAATTATTTTCAAGGTAAATTCAATTCTGCATCAGTTCCCCTCTCTCTCTTTTTCCATACTTAAATCTCTATACAATAAATTTAAGAGACTAGTAAGGACTTTTTACCTACCATATCACTGCTGTTAGGTTTCATCAAACACACAGGTACAGACACTTACATACATTGGTACACTGTGTTTAATACCCGAATGGTAAGGTGGAAGAAGAGATAAAAACATTTTAGAAAGGTCAAAGAAATGGAGAGCATGTATAAACACTCAGTGTTCCAGGAATATCTTGAGTTACCAGCATATCTCATCTTCTTGCTGAGTGATACACAACTTAACATCTCTGAAACTTGGGTAGATTACAGAAATGGTAGATTCTTGCATGTGTTAATCTAAAATATACTTCTTAACCGCTACCTATACTGGTTTACAAAAACACTTTGTTTTTAGTTTGTTTCCTTCTAAAAATCCTACAAGTATATATATAATTAAATTAAACTGTACATTTGTGCTATTTTATCACTGGTCTTAAACTTTCACAGATAAAAACTAAAACCTAAGTCTTTAACTAAAAACTGAGTCTTCTTAGAAAAAAGTTCCTCAAATGTCAGAGCTGTTATCAGTATCATGGTGTGCACCAATGCAGGTTTCTCAACACTGCAAGACTGCAAAACACACCGTCCTATATCAAGTAAACTGTTTTGTGCTTGGAAATACTTGCAAATGCTATCCTTCGACTGGTTTTTCAATAAAGAAAGATATTCCAAGAGAAATGGGAAACTTTGAGACTCATTTACATTGTCTATAACTGGTGTAATGTCTACTAAGTCAATTTTAATAATTTTGGTGGCAATATAATCCAAAAATTTCTACAGTCATCCAAAAGGAAAATCATCTGAAATGTCAACACTTAAACTTTTATTTACTCAGAAATCAATTCCTAGAAACAAATCTTTACTAACAGTACAGTGATGAAAAGGTGAATTAAAATATTTCCAGAATTGTGGCTTTATGATAAATTTTTAATCCATATTCAAGAGTTTCAAAAAAAAAAAAGTACTACATGTTTAATGAAAAGAACCTCACATAACTGTCTGTATAACCATCTGATCTCTGTAGCCTACTTTGTAAACTCATCCTATTTTTCAGAAAATTTGAGAACGTCAATCGATAGAATGGAAGATGAAGTTTCCATTTTCTTTGTAATTAGCCGTCTCATTAATTTACTTTCCAGCACTGGCTGCCAACTTTCCCAGTAGGTGAAATGAGTATTATCTTGGCATTTATCAGTGAAATATTTTGTATTATTTGGGCAAATAGCCAATACAAGATACATAAACATATATTTGAAAAATCATTTGCTGTAACAAAGACATATGCCCGAAATTTATGTTTTTGTGTCATTTTTGAGAAAAGTATTTTGATCAAACCACAACATTCAACAAACATTTGACTCCATGCATTTTCTGGAGTGCAACTTTTCTTTTGAAATTGTAATGCAGCAGATACCATGATTTTCATTACCTTTTTGGAATGCTTCCTTCTTTTATGCCTGCGGATGTGCTGAAATGCCAATGGCGGTCTCCTCACTGGTTTCCTAACTGGCATGACAAACCTTTCTGCTTACAATAAATAGGCATCCGTTCTGCAATGTGATCTTCAGATTTAATTCAAACCCTATGTGCCTCCCACATCAGTTTCTTAATGGTATTGGAAAATTGTCATTGCATATCGTGACAGTCTCATTCTGTCTGAATAATCCCAGTTTTCATATTTTACCATCAGTTCCATTAAAGACTACGGATACCACACAGACAGTAATCTTCCATGTTCCAAGCAAATATGCCAGAATCGGATTAGAATTGTATCTCAATTTCCATCTAGACTTGATGCAATATAGACATCAACCAAAGCCAGGTAAACAATCAAAACTTATAAGGAACGTAAATGGAGCGAATACAGGAACCCACTGAACATTTAGCAATGGTTCACTCATTTGCTCAAAGCTGACGATCACAATATATCAAAAATTTTGTCAATCATCTTTTGTCCTTGTCTTCCCATTTGATAAATGACCAGCAGTTTTTAATACTGATAGTCTAATGGTCCTGAAATCATATTTCTTAGGCTACTAACACTAAGTACAGAGCATGCCCAGGCCCCACTTAATGCACTAGGCTCAGCTGGTATTGTAAGTTATTGAACAATAAATCCTTTCAATATAGGACAGCAATTACTGCTAGGAGCTGGCTATAAATATCCGTTTCGTTTTATCTAGAATTCACAGTGCCTTTAGAATGAATTAATTAAAGCGTGGAATTAAAATTGTCATAAATGTTTTTAATTTAACATCAAAACATCTTTATATTTGACTGTTTGACAACTGAGACTAGTTTCTTTTAAAAACTAAATTTTGTTCTTTGACATTTCCACCTCAGTGAATAAATAATTACCAGTGCAGAAATGAGAGGAATTGAAATATACATATGAGTTTCCACTAAAAATCACTGTTTCACTTTCCACTTCATACTACCATTACTTAACTGACAGTTTTCTATTATAAATTGGATTTCCAAAACTTTCGCTTGAGTTATTAGATGTCGGAT